AGGCACAAACCACCAATATCTGAATGAAACAACATCAAAAAGATAATAAGAGAATATATTACAAACAACACTACACACATAAATATGGCAACTTTCCTGAAAAGGACCAATTCCTCAATGGGCACAATCACAACTCACCCCAAACAAAATAGCTCATTTGAATAGCCTAGTTAACTATTAAAGAACTGAGTTTGTAAACTGAAACACCCAAAAAAGAAATCTCTAGGTCCAGACGGTTTCACTGGAAATTCTACCAAACATTTAAAGAAGAGAGCAACTCTATTCGGTATCTTCCAGAAAGCAGGAGAGAAGGGAACACTTTCCAAGTCATCTCATGAGGCCAGGCATCAGGGGTAAAATCTGACAGTCACTGCCGTTCCATTCATGGAAAAGAGACATTTACAGTCAAGTGCAATCTGTGTTCTGAGGGGAACAGGAGCCTATAGGAGCCAGCAGGGGCATCTAATTCTATCCTGGCTGGGGTTGAGATAATGGAAGGCTTCAAAAGAAAAGTAATTTTCGATGTTGACAGTCAGGAATATAGTCACTGAAATATGGAGATTTTAAATGTCAGAAGATACAACTAGAAGAATCCAAGATAAGTGCCTTGGGGGTGAGAGGCTGGGGTAAGGAGGAAGGAATAAGCGGAGTAGAGAGCCACAGTATATTCTCATTAGCCTTTTACTATATGTTATTATGATAAAATACAACCAACCTTCACAAAATAATGTAAAAGCACAACTTCCAGTCAAGATCCATCTCTCCCTGCTCCTCTTACCTAAGTCCAACTATAAGCTTGGAAATAAAGCAAGAGCCAAACAAAGGAGAGCTCTGGAAGGTGGTAAGAAGGCAGCAGTTAAGAGGAAGAGGGTTGGGGGGGCTTGGGACCAAGGACTGAGAAACGATACAGTGGCGGGACATCCTACATGCCCTCACCCAACAGAAGGAAGGAGATAGACCTGGCATTCCCTAACTTCCAACCTAGCAAGAAAAGGCAGCCCAGAAAGATCACTCCTCCCCTGGAGGGAGCAAGAGTCCACCACCACCAGCAAGAGAGATCAACAAGTGCCGTGGGAAATGGCGTCCCTCCCCACGGACCTAAGACTCCCCTGTCCCATCAAGGGACAGTGGTGCATCTGGGCGGCAGCAGTTAGAGGAACCCTGCCACAAAAACAGGTTAGAAGCCTCAGAAAGCCCCTGGGTCCCCATGGGCCGAGACGCCCCTCTCTCACCAGGAGGGAAACCAGGCAGCATCACCAAGCACAGCCCCACTTCAGAAGCAGCCAGTCCAGGAAACTGCTGCTATTCAGGGCCTGAACTCCCCTCCTCTGCCACCAGAGACCAGAGCAGCAGGAAGCACCAGCAAGAGGGATTCCAACGGCCACAGCGGTGCTGAGACTCCCCCCTAACCAGACGCACCAGAACAGCCAGCAGGCACATGCAGAGCGGGTACAACCACTGCCCATCCAACAAAGCCTCTTCATCACGCGGACTGACCGTTCCTCCTCTTACCAAGAGACACTGGGCCTGGGGAAATCGCCTCTTCCTCTCAGCAGTGTAAGCAGAGACAAGAAAGAGTCCCAGTACACCACATAAACCAAGCACACCAAAAACTGTAGCACAAAATTAAACTGTCACTGGAATCACAGCCCACAAATGTAGGCCAGGACCTACAGGGTAAATTTAAATAGGGCAATCACCTGCTAAAGTAAAAGATATAAACAGAACCCACATTCTCCAGACATAATAGACAAAATGTCCAGGATAAAATAAAAAATCATCAGTCATACCAAGAACCAGAAGATTCACAGTGTGAGTTAGAAAAGATGATCAACAGACACACCAAAACTCAAATTAACTCGGATACTGGAATTATGTGACAATCATTTTAAGCAGCAAACATATACATGCTTCAACAAGCAATAACAAACTCTCTTGAAACAAACAGAAATTACAAAACTGACAAATACACTAGTGAAAATAAAACACTGCTCCATGGGATCAATAGAAGAGTGAAGATGACAAAGGACAGAATTAGGAAATTTGAGAACAAATCAATACAATTCACATAATTTTAACACAGGAAAAAGAAACTGGGGGGGGGGGGAACCTAAGGGAATTATGTAACACTAACAAAAGACCCAACATTTGTATCACGCCAGTACCAGCAGGAGAGAGAGAAGACAGTGGAAAGCAGAGTCCTTGAAGAAACTCCCTAACTTTGGTGAAACAAAACCCAACAGATTAAAAACTCTTACTAAATACCAACCAAGATAAACCAAAAGAAATCCACACCAAGATACATCACAGTTAAACTTGTAAAAATGAAAAACAAATAAAACCTTGAAAGCAATCAGAGAGAAATGACACGTTACCCACAGGGAAACACCATCTTGAGCGGCAGTGAGCTTCTCAACAGGAATCATGAAGGCGAGGTGGACAGTAACCAGTTTTCAAGGCTAATGAAAGAACTGTCAACCAGGAATTCTATATCCAATACATCCATCCTTCAGGAATGAAGGGGAAATAAAAACATCCTAAGGTGGAAGAAATTTCAAAATTGGCTATAGGAAGCACTTTAAATAGAAAAGAATGGGGAAAAAAGAATCCTGAATACCAGGAAGGAATAACAGAAAGAGCAAAAACATGGGTACGTACATTAGACTATCCCTTATGATCACTGAGTTTTATAAATATTTGATGATTTAAACAAAAAGTGTAACACCATCTGATACTCAAGATATGATATTTAAAGTGTAGGGGGAGAAGATGGGTAAAGGGACCAAAATGCAAGTAAGATTTACACAGTCTGTACTCCACAGACTAAAATACTAATCCCAACACCCCATGGTGATAAGTCACATACGTATACTGCAATACCCAATAGAGCACACACTACAAAAACTACACAAAGACTTACACTCAAAAACCCTGTAGAGATATCCAAAAAAAGTTCAAATAACCTAAAGGAAGTCAAAAAGAGAAACAGAAGAGGAATGAGAATCAGAAGAAACAAAATAAACAAATAATAAAATAGCACTACAGCTCTAATGTAGCAATAATTAACTTAAATGTAAAGGGTCTAAATACACCAATCCAGAGAATGACAGAGTGCATAATGGAAAACCAGGATCCAACAAAGAGATTCAATTCAAATTCAACTGAGGTTGAAAGCGAACACCATGCAAACATTAATCCACAATAAAGCAGGAGGAGATTTCAGAGCAAAGAAAATTACCAGAGACAAAGAAGAATATTATGTAATAAAAGAAACACTCTACCAAAAGACATAAGAATCCTAAATATGTACACACCAAATGACAGAGCTTCAAAATACCTGCAGCAAAAACTGAGATGCAAACCGCGACGGAAACCTATTGTGAAATAAGTAGCATATTTCCAAACAATGATCTCCCAAAATCAACCACTCAGAGAATTACTGACGCAATCACTGTTATAGGTACTATCTAGGAGGAAAAGAGAAACGGTACTTCTGGCCAAACACTGAACACATGCACCTTAGCAGGTTCTCCTGTAACCCTTCACCATCCTGTAGGAAAACAACAGTATCCCCCCCCCATTTTACATCCCACGAAATGGGGGTTCAGGTTAATGAGATCCAACACCTAGTCAGTAAATGAGCCGCGATTCAATTCAGCTCTACATGACAATACATACTTTCTGACTCTATGTTACAGCTTCTCAAATAGCCCAGAACAAAAGTTACTCTAAAACTCGAATCCTGAAGCAACTGGATATTAAAATGTTCTTTTTCCTCTTCTGTACTAAAAGTTAACAGCTTCTGGGGCACCTGTCCAACCCTTGATTTCAGCTCAGGTCCTGATCTCAGGTGGTGGGATCAAGCCCCGCCTAGGGCTCCACGCTCAGTGGGGAGTCTGCTTGAGATTCTCTCTCTCGCTCTCGCTCTGACCCTCCCCCCGCACGCACGCGCACTCTCTCTCAAATAAATAAATCTTTTTTAAAAAAAGTTAATTGCAGGGGCGCCTGGGTGGCTCAGTCGGTTAAGCGACTGCCTTCGGCTCAGGTCATGATCCTGGAGTCCC